TGGTCAAACTGCAGAGAAAAAAGTGACAGTAACAAGACATGCAAACATTTTTCCTGTTTATTTAGTAGCGCATAAAGAGTAGCTTAATTTGTAAAAGTTGTGGGCAGTGCACCTTAGGAAACATGGACAATCATAACAAGGCAGAGGAAAATAAGTAACTGATAATAGGCCAGAAAACATAAATCATAAAGCAAAACTGAAAGAATAAGATAAGACACGATAATAAAATTCAAACACAATAAAAAGCTGCTGCAAAGAGGAACATCATAAACTGGGTTCAATGACTGCTGGGAACAGGATAGGAAATAATGGTTTTAAATTGTTGCAAGAAAGTTTTCCTTAGAGAGGATGAAAAATTTTCTAGCGCTAAGAATGAAGCACTGGAATAGATTGATTAGGGTGACTGTGCAGGGTCTAATATGGCAGCAATTAAAGGTCCAGTAAACATGCCAGACCTTGTTCAAGTATAGAAGAGTTAAGGATGGACTACAGAAATTTTCAAGGACCCATCTAGCCCTTGTTTATCTACTGCAGGTACTAAATTGCTGTGTCTTCTATTTCATGATAGAACATGGGAATAGTTCAGAGCTCACATGAGTATTTCTTTGGAAGAGTAACAAAAACTACACTAGCCTGACACACAACAGCCTCACAGGACAGTTAAGATAAAAAAAAAAACCCCAAGAAACAGAGAAATCTAGAGAGGCTGTGCTTTCTCAATCATTTTTGTTTTAAGTCCTCTATCGCAGAACATGATGAACAGTCTGATCATCAGCCACTAAAAAAAATCACAAACTATTGCCAAAGGTGCTCTAGTTGTTTGACACAAAGGTTGTGAGGATTCCAGGAAGCTGAGCTAAGATACTGCTGCCAAAGTGGGAGACAATATATAGACCTTTATATGCAGGATGGGAAGCAAATTTCTTCTGGAGTTATATGCTACAGACAAATATCTCACATTTCAGAGCTATCCAGATTGCATGATGCAATTAGGTGCTGAAGTCCCACTGGATGAAGTGTATATTGAGTGCATATTGTATCCGAAATTGTGTTTAAATGTGATTAGCCAAAAATCCCAGCAGATTTTAAAAACTGATGTAATAAGATACATCTACACTTCAATTTCAGGCAGGCATAAGGACATCTCTGCTGACCAACTATCCAACTCCATTCATGTGCTTGCGTGAAAGTCCAACAGATGAGAAGAGCCCAGGGATTAACAACAGTGGGCAGAACCTGTTGAACTCCAGACTGCTCATGGTAAGAAGTCAAAACAAGCCTGCTGATTCTAAATGGGGTAACTGCAGGACTTCCAGTAAATTCCCATTGCTGAGAGATAGGCTAGAAGGATATAGAGGCAGTTAACGTGACAAAAAACGTAAGAGGGATTTTGCAATACTGTTGTGACTAACAGGCCACATCAAAATTCTTATGATTCAGTATTAAAGGAAGATGTGAGCTACAAATGTCTCAAGCTGGACACCACCAAAGTCATCAGAGGTCAAAGAAACTGGATAAACATCTAACCAAGAGGATGGCACTTCAGCTCAGCAATGCAGAACATTCCTCAGGGTCCAGAAGAGATGGAAGTGATAGGACATAGGATCATGGTTCCTTTTCCCATAATACATAATTTTCCACAGCAGAAAAAATGCAGCTAGGGCAAGCAAGATGAAATTAGGCATGGATTCAATGAGAAAGGAGCCAACAACTGGACCCTCTGGGAACAAATCCTCAGTTCTTGCTATCAATCACAAAAACTAGAAGCAAAAGCATCATCTTCAGTAAATTTTAAGTCATAGGAAGTAAACCAGAGAGGAACTTAAAACAATCACCAAATAGTTGCCAACAGCAGAGGAAAGTGCCAGGATTTGTCAATCTTCTCACCTATTGCAGAAGACTTAAGTAGTAAGATAGGAACAGAAATAAGGAGGACAGGACAAGACAAAGGACTACAGTCAAATTCAGATCTCTGTAACCGTAGCAGCAACACCACCAAGGAATGGAAAATGGGGCTGACTGGTAGCTGGTGGGTTGCAATGGTCTGGAGGGAAGAGCTTTGGCCCTGTGGACAGGTAAGAGGTACCTAACAGCTGGTCTATGACTGTCATTAGCACAAGGGGATAAAATCTAGAAATTACTATAAAGAAACATTCAGAAGCTGCACAGAAAAATCCAGGCTTGGAAAAAGCACCATGAAAGCCCTTCTGCATGCAGTGATTGTGATATTGATGTCTTGTCAATCTATGCAGAACAGAGGCTAGACAATGTTAAAGGAATAAAGTAGGTATTTATTAAAAAGGCCTTCAAAGGATACCTTTGTACCTTGGGCAGTACAAGAGCCTGGCTGTTGCTACACCCAAGATGGACACTGGATCACACATTTTCACACTTTTATAAATTTGGTCCGTTTGCTTATTGGGGTCAATTGTCCAGTTACAGCTTCAGGTTCTGAAGTCCCATCCTCCCAGACTGCTCTCTCAATTCACCATTGTTTATCCTTTTGGGGGTCTGAAGCTGAAACAGTGTCCTTGGTTCTTGGGCTGGAAAAGGATTGTTTTGTCTAACCAAAAACTGAGAAGAGAACTTGCTAATACTTTATATGAAGTTCAGGGTTATATACACTAATGCAGTACAGAATCTGTAAAACACAAAAGCTAAAATTGAAGGCATTATAACCTCTGTAAACAACTCTTCTAAGGAAGCAAACAAAATAATCCCACCTTATTTCAGTAATGCAGAAACAAACTCCTCTCTGGACTCTGGCCACTTTAACACTAAATACAGACACATAGAGGACCAAGATTATAGTTTGACAATTGCTAAAAGCTTTGAGAAGCTTATAAGAAAATTAGATTTTTAAAAAATTAATATAACAGAGTTCTCATGTTCCAGTTTGCATCTAGAGTTCCATCTGTCATGTAAAATATTTATTTGTGTTGATATTTTTAATGTTAAGATATTTCCCAAGACAACTCAAAGGCCTGAGTCATGAGTTTACTATCCCAAGTATGGTCAAGCAGACTGTTCACATCTTCTTTCTGATTTGATTAATTCTTATCATTGAGCTGTTCAAGATTTAAAATTGTTTTTAAAACAATTAAATTAAGATGTACCTTGTTGGTGAACATCCTGGAAATTGAGCTTACGGATTTTAAAGGGCTACACCAAATGAATCAAACCAAGAGTTAAATTATAAATGAAACTTCAGTTAGTTTTAAATACTTTTAATACATATCTGCAGAGGCACTGTTTTAAATTCTAGGCTGTTAAGACAGTAATGCAAGACAATTACTGCATGTACCAATGATGAATACTTAGAGAAATTCCAACAGAATTCTTGCAGTGTTCACTTACAGAACTAGTTCTTTTTAGAATTAGGAAACAAGATCTAGCTGATATGAATAACAACATAAAAGGAAAAGTTCCTCTCATTCTCAGAGAACAGCTGCAGCTTTTTTCTGCATCTGCCTTTCCCTGCAGCTCTGCTCCCAAAGACACACTGCCTCAGTGAACAACTAACAAAGGAAAAGATAAAATGCTAATATTCAGCCTAAAATGAACATATTGATCCTTTAAAACTATTAAATGAGATTTTAGAGAAATTTATTTGAAAATGCTTTGTTTCTTAGGGCTATAGTTGGATGAAACGTAAGACAAAAAACAGCCTTAAATTAAGCAATGCCATCATTATGTTTTTTTTGTTGGGAGGAGGATTGCATAGGGAGGTCTTTAGCAGGTTTTGTTAACAGCTCCTTCTCTCCATCTGGAATTTCTTTTTCTCTTCCACTTACTTTCCACCCATCTATTCAATCTCTCATTCTGCATATTACAGTTGCAATTTAAAATTAAACACTCATTTGCTATTATACACAAGAACATATTAAAATAATTTTACAGGGGTAAAAGACAAGTTGTGGACTACATACTTAAGCTCTACTCTTATCAAAGGACTACAGTAATGAAAGCAGTGGAAACATTTTGTAGTGGGTATTTTATGCCAATGCTTCTCATTATATCTTTTGAAGCCAGACTTAGTTTTCACTGAAGTATAAAAATAATAATTGAAAAAGAATGAAAAGCTTGGAAAAGGAAATAATATAGTGAAATAGTGATGCAGAAAAATGCTTAATAAAAAGTCAAAGCTCTGCTGACTATGAGGACCACAGTCTTGAGGTTAGGAAGGTGATTAAGGGCTTTGCTAAATATAGTCTTAAAATATGCCTCCAGGATCTATTCATAAATAAGAAAGCTTGATTGCTTATCATGTCTATTACTCTCTACTCATAGTGGAAATACCAACTGCTTGTTATATTGTGTGTTATTATAATCACAATACTTAGCATACTGTGTATTATTATAATCACAACATAAATGCTTAAAACTAATCTAACCTGTCTTCACTTTTCTCTAAAGGACGTTCATTTGTTTTAAATCTGTCTTTCCCTTTATGACACTCAGAAAGGCAACTCTGTGTTAAAAAGGAGAATTTTCCATATTTAGACAAACAGCTTTATAAAGAATAGTATCAGCCTTCAGAGAGTGTGAAGCAGGATATACATAATTCAGGCATACAATGAAGTCAATACACACAAAGACCTGGTATTAAACACACAGATCTACTGTATCCTAAAACTTATCGATAAAAACTAATAGGGATAAGAAACCTGAACAAAATTTTGCATCAACTTGGCAATAAGCACATTATTTTTACTACATTAATTATGTAACTGTCCATTGCAATTTAACTTTTTTTTTAAAATGAAAGCTGTATACAATGCTACTGTAGTTACTATACACGCTGAAAAGGAACATCACGCAAAGAAGTACAGACACTAGAAAATAAATTTTCTGTAACTCACACAGAGTGTGAACTGAGTTATAACTTATGTGAAGACACAAATGAACTGAACTTGAATATTACACAACAACTAATCTAAACTTTGTTGCACTTGTAAAGCAGTAATCTGTTAGCTCTTAACCAGAAAAAACAAAAAGGAGACTGAGCAATTGTACTATTTTATTTGTATACTTAAATTCATTGAACACTGTCGTGACATGGCATTTGTAAAGCTGGCAGTAATGAAAAAAAAAACATTTGGCAATATAATGAATTCATTATTTAAAAAGAAATATTTTTCACTTAACTCACAAATCTAGGTAACTGACATACAGGAGTTATTTGCATAATATAAGTAATTCTTTATTACAAAACTCAGATGTGGGATTAAGCCCGTGTAATTCAAAAATCCCTTTTTATACTGCAGCAGCTTTATAAAATAAAGTAATATTTGCTTTCTAATTTTGACCCACTATTCCAAATAAAGAAATAAACATTTCATTTTGTTTCAAATGCTCTAAAATGATTCCTTAGACCAATTATTTTTCAGATTTTACGTTTTTTCCACTCTGGCTTGTCTGTTTCATCATCTTCTGGTTCCACTTCTGCAAAAACTGTTTTTGGCTGTGTTCTAGAAAACATTAAAAAGATTAAAATAGTGGTCAGACTACAATACTTAATCAGAAACTGTATTAGACATGCATTAGACAGAAACAAAATAGATACATATAGACACTTTCAAAAATAGAGCATACTAGACTTGCCCATTACTTATTTTTCACAATAACTTATCAACTAAGCTCAGAACTGAATAAACCTGCAGCTCACAGACAAACAAGCACAACATGCACACATATTTTGCAAGTATTATTTCCTCATTAGCTTACAATCAGTATCTGTGTATTCCATGAATAAAATTAAGATAATAGTGAGGAACAAATACATTTAATTCCAGGCTAGAAAAGCAGAGCCACAGGCCTTCTCATTCCATGACTTTTTAAAAAGAAACTTCCATTTGATACATTGTAGAACAACAACAACCAATAAGTGAAAACAGAACAGCTAAGCCAGGTTTCTGGCTAAGCCCACATATGAAAAAACAGCATCTCCCCAGAGACTTAATCTAACACTACTGTAACATAAAAATGTAATGATCTTCATATAAGAACACAGTGTATCTGACAGTCAAGCTTGATGGTATCAATTCCTCCACTCTTTGTGCGAACTTTAAATACAACTTAAATGTCACAAAAGTAATTATTGATTACTTTCTAAATGAACACAGTATCAAGTAGCACTTCAATAAACTGTTTGGACATTCATTTCTCCTGTTTTGCACCTTAGGAACTTCGTGGTCCCCTTTTCTGACTTGATTCTCAGCACAATCACTGCAGAGCTGGAACTATCAGATTTCTGATGCTGGTTATGCTCAACTTCTCAACATGACAAAGTATAAAATGCAGCCAAGGTAGCCATTATCTCATTACTATATTAACAAATGTTTTTATATCAGTCTAAGGATGTGAAGCGTTACTAGCACAACAACTGTTATTTGCAAAATGCATAAACCTTAACAAAATTGTGCCTGCATTACACAGAACAACAGCCTGACTACAGGGAGCAATAGCAAGCCATTAGCTCTGAATCTTTAGCAGTATTCTGCATTTGTTAAATAGGTGACACAACTAGGTTCAAAATCACCAAAACTAGTCAAAGACAACTCCCCTCACACGTAGGATTCTTCTACTGCCCTGCCTGCTCCTCCATCCTCCAAGCTTGCCATGGAGGAAAGGTCATGCTGATAATTCCAGGGGTGGCCCTACTGCAGAACTCCGACTGGCACATGGTGGTGGTCTGTGTTCAAACCCAGATGAGGACCTATACTGTGGAAGTTACATGAGTCCTTCTGCTGTCCATGGAAAGCATAACTGACATTAAAGAATATTTTCCAATTTAAAAATTGAATTATAAAATACTTATATAAACTCTACTTAACCCACTGCTGAAGAAAGAAGTAAAAAAACAACCAGAAGAAAAAAACCAATATTCAATCCAAAACAGACACCAGGGACCAAGGCTTTATTGGCTGAAATACTGGATTTCGCTAGCTGCTGAAAAGGAAGAATGTATGGAATCTTCTCTTTTTTTCCGACATACTGACAAAGGTTTATTTAGCCCATTTTAGCAATGTACCCTCCTTTTACCACAACAGATGAGAAGTATCTGAATGTCCTCTAGGATTACCTCAGTAATAAGAATTTCATTAGTAAAGCACAGCTAATCAAGTGGAAGCCTAGAATTTCTGACCACAAACCTGTAGCTGTCATAATTCAGACAAACATCTCCAACTTAGAGAAATGAATAAATTTCTGAAACAAACAGCAAAACCTATGTTTTTTTCAGGATAGGAGTGGCACAGAAAAAAGGCATAGACTTCAGAAAAGGTAAGTGTGCTACTGAGTACAGAAAAGCTGAGGTAGGGAAAGAAGAAGAAAAAATGAAAAAAAAAAGAAAAAGAAGAGAGCTACTATACCATAATCTAGCATTATTCAGCTAAAGCAAAAACATGCAGAGGAAGTCAAGTCTGCTTGCTACCTCACTTTTTAAAATTACCATGAAATAGCTATAGCCTTAGGTGAAATGTAAACTGTTCCACCTCCACAAGTCACACAGCTATAACTGGGGCACCTAGGGTGATTCATACGCCTGACCATTTAAAAACAATGTTTTTGTTATTGCTTTATCAGCAATGATCATTTAATCTAATTTAAACATAATTTTTTTCTGCTTAGTAACTGCACTGGAGACTGCCAGTGTATTAGGAGTTTGCTGTATGATTAATATTTATACAAAAATTATCAAAACAAGTTTTCTACTAACAAGTATTCTTATTTCTGAGGGCTGTATTCTTTTCCCCCCCATCAAATTTCTCAGTTTTATTTATCCTGGACTCTGGGGGTTGTTTTCAGTTTGTTAGGGATCTGTTTAGCAGATCCCATTGCAGAATACTATGGAGGGCAAAGAGGCCCAAGGAAAACTGGTTGATCTTTGAGGAAATCTCCACAAAACAGATTACATTTCATCCGAGAAAGAACAGCCTGGAAGTAGCCTGGCATGGATGCATATGGATCTGACAGTGATAAACCACAAATTCCAAAAAGGAAGAACACAAAGGAGGCAAGGACACCCTCAGCTAAGAGGAACAGAGATATTACGTTAACACAGGAACAGAGTTAGGAGAGCCATAGCTCAGATGGAACTGAAACACAAAAGAAGTGTGAGGAGAAACAACAAAGAACTTCTACAGCTACACTGACAGCCAAATGAATGTGAAGAAAAATGTGCTTTACTGAGCAGGTAAACCACTGATATAGGATATGGAAAAAGTCAAGATACTCAGTGCTTTTTTCAGCTCCGTTTTCCCTGAAAAGGTCTGTCCTCAGGTCTGCAAGCATTCCTACACTACAGCAGTCTTTGGTACGGACTGAGACATTTCCAACAGAAAGAGGAAGACAGAGTTTGCAGCTCATTGGACATGTAAAAGTCTGTATCAGATGGGTGGATCCAGAGGTACTGAAGGAGCTGGCCCATGTCACTGCAAGGGCACTCTGTCATCACTGAGATAATATGGTGACTGGGAGAGGTTCTCAATGGCTAGAAAAAGTGAACATCATCATCTTTGTGAGGGGCAAAAGGAGGATTTGAGGAAATAGCTGACTTCAGTTTGCAGGAAAGCTATGTAATGAATCCCAGTGGAAAGCATTTCCAGATACATGAAGGTCATGAAGGTGGTAGAGAACAGCCAGCATGGACTTAGCAAGGGCATACTGTGCCCACCAGCCAGACTGCTAGAACAGGCTGCCCAGACAGGTGTGGGTATTTCCATCCCTTGAGGATATTTAACCTTGGTTGAGCAAACCCCTGAATAACCCAAATCTAACTGGATCCGAGTTAAGCAGAAGATTGTACTAGATGACTTCAGGCATTCTCTTCCTACCTAAATTGTTCTATGATCCTGTGTTTCCACATGACTGTCAGCTGAAACCAGTATCTCATACACTGAAAAATGCTTTCCTGTTGTGGGTTATGGTAACAGGCAACAAACAAAAATGGGAAAACAAACTAGCATGATTTATTTATACTATGTGCTTCTCTTCAGTAGTTATCAAGATATTCAGACATGCAGACCTCTAGAAAATTTCCAGGGGCCACAAAGACTGCTTTAGAGTAACCATAATCCCTCTGCTTATGGGTTGTTTTCCTTAATTGCTTTTCAGCAATCCAATAAAAGTAGCTCACTGACATATGAGGATCATAGACTAGCAGATAAATAATACTGCTACAGCAAAACCAGCTGGAGATGACAACTGCATATCACAACATGTGACTCATGTCAAAGTAACTTTTGAAATTAGTGTTTATATTGCACTGAAACAAAGAAAAAAGATTTTCAAGCATGCTTGGAAACAAGAATAATGTCATAAGGGTCACTTCCAGACTGTTCCATGAAAAACATGTTCCAGAAAAGTTAAGGTATTCCGCATCAGGCACCTTTTTTGTTCTTTACCCCACCAACCAGCCTGACTCTTTTCTAAATTACAGAGACTTCCCTCTCAAAATTACCAATTTACAAAAAAATATTTAGGATAAATATAACAATGCATGCCAACAAGGCTGCTGTTACAAGACATTCTGCTCAGTACTGATTCTTCAACTAATGATACTTGTACCATTACAAGTAACTAACACTTCACAGACTGGCATTGCCCTTGAGAATATTTCAGTGAACACAACACAGCTCCAGACTCTTGCTTCATGTAATTCCCTTTTGACAGTGACAAGCAGCAATGAAAAAGACTGCAAAATAGGGGTAACATCAATGAAATTAAACGTATTCTCCCCTAGTTTACCTTGCTGAGGAGGGAAATTTCACCCGCACTTTCTCTCTGGTACAGAAGAAAGCTGCATCTGGGCCTGATTAGGCACTCAGCTACAATGCTTAGTAATTCCTGCTGATCCTTCAGAGGACATCTGAAGTCATTATAGTATATCTGTACAGCTGTGTTAAAACAAACAGCTCACAAAGAATGTAATTTTCAAACATTTACAACTGATGCCTCAAGTTCCTTTCCTGTAGTTCTTTACTTGAAATCTTCAATCTGTCCTTCCTTTCCTTTCACTCCACTGGAATGGCTCTTGCCAAGGACTCTAACAACCTTCTTCCTGAGAAATCTCAAGATCTTTTCCTTATCCTCATCCATTATGACTTTTCTGCTGTGTTGAACACATCTTACTTGACACTTTATTCTGTGACATGTCATCTCCTTATTCAGCATGTATTTCTTATCATCCCCAGTATCCTTTTCAGCAGCATCTGTTTTTCACCCATTCTTTTGTCTCTTACGTACTTCCCCCTCCTTTCTGGCTCAAATGTCAGGGGGAACAGAAAGGTCAAGCTAATGATAAACTTAAAAATTTTTTCAAGTGATAAGTAATGCAAATGAATATTCAGCTTCAAGAGTAAATTAGGCACCTTTAACTCTAAAAAAAGATACATATTTTTAAACAGAATGCATACCAGCGAATAACTAACAGCAGAAGTCATGTGTTTCTTAGAAAATTTATTGAAGTGAAAATGATGCAATCATAGAATGATGTGGGTTAAAAGGGACCTTAAAGATCATCCAGTTCCAACTCCACTGCCATAGGCAGGGACACCTTCCACTAGACCAGGTTGCTCAGAGCCCCATCCAGCCTGGCCTTAAACGCTTCCAGGGATGGCGCATTCACGGTTTCTCTGGGCAACCTGTTCTGTACCTCACTACCCTCTGGGTAAAGAATTTCTTTGTAACAGCTAATCTAGATCTCTCCTCTTTTAGTTTAAAACCATTTCCCCTTGTCCAGTCACTACCTACCCATGTAAAAAAGTCACTCTCCCTCATACACAATTAAAAAAGCATTAAATCTGTTAACTGATTGAGAATGGCATAGCCAGTATGGATCAGGAACAGACAAATCAATCCTGTCATCATATTCCAAGTCATGAAAACTGATTAACCAGAAAAGAGCATTTCTTAATTTTCTCAGTTGAAAATTATTTAATAACTATCACTGGAGAAAATTAAGTAACTATAGTTTCCTTACATATTTTCTGAAGAAAGAGAGTGAAAATTTAATGTGCATAGATGGCAGAAGACCAAAAGCCTTGTCAAACAAAAGATATATCAAGTAGATAGTTTTATACCATGTTTAAGTGAAAATTTAGTACAAGAGATGTGGGAAAACTAGTAGCAGAAGAATAAAGTAGTAAAAGAATAAATACTGTTTAAAAAAGTGAAACATACTGGATGTATGGTTTTTAGGTCTTAAGACAGTATATGATTTTAAAAATGTATCAGAATATCACCTTTCCTAACTGTATGGTGTAACTTCTGCTATAGCTAAAGCAGCTGTGCAGTATACAAATCAGGACTACATGATAATTTGGATGAATTACTTGCAATTTGCATACTTAATTAAATATAAGTCTGTAAGTACATCTGTAAAATGCATTTTATATACAGCTTAAACAGCCATGCTCTATAAAGTCAGATGTAGGATGTAATTTCAATAGCATATTATATTATATTATATATATATTACATTAAAAAAGCACAGCCTTATGTGGCTGTTCATATAGTCCTGAATTCCTGAAAACTAAGAACATGACACTTAATAAAGTTTCTGCATTTCACTGTCTTAGATGTTATTAGTATTAGTGCTGTTATTCCAACTGTCATTACTATTATTATGTTACTGCTGTTATTATCAATAATATTATTGTTTGGGAGTTTTAAAATTATTTTTGCATAGAATATATCTGAAATTGAAGCTTTTAAAGCAAGGATAATGGCAGCTTTACCAGGATGAGATTTATCAGCTGACAAAGCCATCAAGGCAGGGTGCTGCTGGCTGCAGTCCAGTTCCCCACATACATATCACCGTCTGGTGTGTAAGTTAATAGCAGTCTGGACTTGCATCCTGCCCACTTCTCAGCCAGCTCTCCTCTTCCCCTGCAGCCACATCTTTAACAAGGAACTGTAATGAGATCTGGCCACCTGACACAGTAAGCCTCTTCTAAAACAGCTTTGTTTTAAAAGTTTCATGTCTGCTACACTGCAGGTGTTGGGGATGAAACTTAATACACAATCAATGAAGTTACTAAGCCAAAAATATGCTCATATGTCTATCTACCTGATGGAGTGTGAGATTGTATTTACTTTTGAGAACGTATTCCTCTAATAAAACCAGACACCTACACATTCCAAGTGTATTTCTTCTCTAGCAATCATAAACTCTCAAACAAATAACAATCAATATTTAGCATATTCATTACAACAACTGCTACAGAATTAGGCTTTCAAATATCCCATTTTTTATACCAAAAGTAATACTATACAATGCACTGGTTTGATGTCTAAGACTTATTAGTAATTACTTGGTCAAAGCCAGGCTGGGTCACTGACATTCTTCATCTGCTTTGGAACTGCTATTAAGTTATCTTTGTGAACATGTGGGTCAAGTCAGAAAATAAATGTCACCATCCAAAACAAGCTGTGGTTCATAGAATATTTCAAGTTTCTGGAAAGAGGTGGTGACTGGTTCACTACTGAGTTGAGCACTAATAAAGAAAGTAGTCAGAAAGTAACAAATGTACAGCCTTGGAGATAGAACACTATTCTGCAAAACAGAAAAGCAATTCATTACTGGCAGACTGTTCCATGAAGACTATTTCAACTCTTCAAAATGTTTTCCTTATGCACTTTGAAAACACTGTTTGACACTATTTTGTGGAGAAAAGCTCCATCAATGATAATAAAATGTGACAACTCTAGTAATTTTTAAAGTATTAGTCTGAGTTCATTAGTTTGAAATACCTTTATGTAGTACTTATTTTTATACTATTGTGAATGCATTTCATTGTTTGAGATGTATTTTTTTTAGGGAAAAACTTCTTGGACAGGAAGCATCCAAGAAGAATAAATGCACAATTTTCATTTTAATATATACACACAAATACCACACTCACACATATAATTTAAATGGAATAAAGTACTATCTGTGGGATTACCAAGGTTTTACCACAAAAGTCTTGATAAGGCTCTTTAACTTATGTAACACCTGAAAATGTATGTCTTTATGTTGAATTTTTGGTAGGAGATTTTATCAGTGTGAATTTAATATTGCTGTACCTTTAAAACCAAATTAATTCAGGCAATTACTTTGGTCCTCATGTAGGAAAAATTCAGATAAAAACTTAACACCATTTTGAAGGTTTAATCTGAGAATCAGTCAGAACTAGAGGGTGTATTGGAAAATCATCCCAATATATCAGTGAGACAGCATCCTATCATCAGGTATAAAACACTGATTTGGAGAAGATTCTAGACTCAAATCAACTTTGAAAGCTTTAAAATAACTTCTAACACTGGCAGGTGCATTATAAAGGTGGAAATACGAAATTGAAGCAATTTAACCTCCTGGAAACTCCTATCTTTATAAAAGAGTTTATTCTTGGTGTACATATTTGTGGTAGCAATTCAAAAAAGGAGAAGTATAGCATTAAAAACATCTGTTTTAACTAAGCTCCTACTGGCCCCCAGAATTATTACTTAATTGTTTCCTTACTTAGCATATGCTGGAGCCACCCAGTATGGATTCTCCTCCGCTTCCTTTGCGTGACGTAAAATGGCCTCTCGAGGATTGCTGTCATCTGTCTTGTCCAGGGCAATGTTCTTGACTATATATGATGACAGGGTGACCCCATGCGTCCCAACACGACCACCACGACCTGAGGCACGAAGAGAAAAATATTGAAAAAATATGCAGAGCCTGCGACAATGACAAGGAGGTTATTTAATGCTATAGGAAGGGTTTAACAGGGCTGCATTCAAGTGGGTGTTTTACTGATTATATAACTCAAAGTAAACCATTGTAATTATTAATTTTTTGCAGGCAAGCACTCCAATGAGACATCAACATCTTAAAAGTGCTGGTGGACACTGCCCATACATCTACAGAGTAGAGTCATCACCCCAGAAATCCAAATCCAAATGACTGGAGAACAAAACATGATAGCCCCTTTGGCATATGACAGTCCAATATGATTATGCCTAGATTACCTGCTCCTGCTACTGGAGGTTCAGGTTTGTGAGACTTCATGGGGTCCAACCTATCCTTCTCCAACTGTTTCCTCGTGCTTCGTTGTCGTGGTTCACGGAACATCGGAAGCGCATGGGCTGAAGAGTCACAGATTGGAGAAAGTCAGATGTCATAAATTCCATTTTCTTTTCAACATTTTAAATACAAAGAGTTGGATTCTTTCTTGCAATGGAAAATGTGGCAAGAGCAGCCTCTTTGCAGCCCCATATCAAAACAGTGGTTTACTGAATTGTACTTTCAGGGGTTTCTTTCTGCTGAATTTTTCCAAGATGAAAACAGCCAGATATCAGGGTTCCTTCAGGCAGGAGCCTCTCATATGAAATACAGTTTGCACAGTTTATGTACATTTCATTCATGTCATTCAGTTCTCAACATTAGCATTGTGACCGATCAGTTATTCTTTTCTGAAGTTCCCATATTTCTTCAGCTTTCTCATATTCTAAGAACAAGACAAGGCGCTTGATACATTCTTAGATATGACAAAGAGTGGAGCAGAAACCCTACAACAATCCCAAATGTAATTTTATGTGTATGAAGTCATAATCATGTTCTTTCTTAAATAATAAGATTAATCACCATTGGAAAAATATCATAACTGAGACAGTGTTGCTAAATCGTCAGGATTTAGAACTTCTATTTCCTCATGAAAGTGCTATCTTCAGTCACAGTAATGGCCTTGACCCAGTCAGACAAGAAAGTCATTTGCTGTAACAGAGAAACACCATGTTAATGGACATGGCTTTCCTGCAGTGAGGTTCAGATCTCACATGCAGGTGTGCTTATTGCTGCCAGTAAAGATAAAAAATAACCAAACAAATCTAAAATTCAGGAACACCATCTCTGAATTTAATTGGGAAAACCATAAGGGAGGATTCAGGCACCTATCAGCTTGAGTTTTTAGCTTATTTCTGTAAGCCTGTTCAAATTATTTGCCTGAATGAAGTCACAGCCAGGTGAAACAGCAGATCTTTGGAAATAAATGTTTTATTTTTGCAGCTTTCACTAGGTATGAAATGCCAGGGACAATTTCCTGGCAAGCACTAAGCTTGATCAGTTTCCACAGAGCATCTAAGGTGACTAATGCACAGATCCAAGCCATTGCCATTTGTAGAGTCAAGGCAGTCTAAGGGAAAATCATGCTGTATATTCCTGTGTTTTAAAAGTGACACTTAATCCCTTAAAACAACATTTCTGCATTTTAAGTGGCCATTACAGGCAACTCTGATGTTAA